CCCAGCACTTTACTTAGACCCTGGACATTTTTATACATTGTTTTGGGTCTGCTCTAGGAAAATAGACACCTCGCCTTGTTTGAATTCAGAACAATTTTATATGTATGAGGAATACTGGTTGACCATACCCCCCAAAAAAAGCTTATCTCACACTAAATATGAGACTAGGAATGATTATTTGTCTTTATAGAAATAGGTATTATACACTGTAGGAGCCAACACCTCCATTCCAGTTGTTCCTTCTCCAGTTCTCTCACTACTGGTGACAAGGCAGACCTTCCTCTGAGACACCTCATCACACTAACTCTGGAGGTTCTGTGGAGGAAGATGTTGTGTTCAGCCGAGATGGGTTTTCTCAATTTATTCAAAAACATTGTGCAAATTTTTTGGACTCAGCTGGTGCCCATCCCCCGACCTTGAAAAATCATCTCCATGGTAATCATTGTTAGCAAAGACAGTGTTTTGTCCTTAGATTTTTTTTTCCCCCACTCAGGAATCAAAGGCTGGGACCACTCTGTAAGAGGAGGTATGGTGTGATCAGATGTATACCTGTGTTGGTACTCTGTGGGCCAATCCATTACTCTGATGACTTTCTAAGGTGTTAACACAACTATTCAAACATGCAGGAATCTAGGAGCCCATGTAGAGTTATTTTTCTGATGGGCTCATCTCACTGGTTGGTTTTAAGTGGATCAAAAGGGAGATTACCATGGGTGGGCCTGACTTTATCAGATGAGCCTGACTCACATTCCCTAAGCAGTTTGTGCCCAAAGGGTTTTCTGGCTGTGGTTGCTCCTATTGTTTCCCTCTATGATACAGTAATCTCATAGATACAGAAAAGATTATTAACCTCTCAGTTTTCTCATAACCCCTTTATGAGAGGGGGTTCATAAGGATAAGTGGTATTTATGAGCTTCTGGCTATTTAGTAGGCTCTAAGCAAGATATTAGAATCATAATGGTTCGGGGCTAGAAATCCAGGGAAAAGCAAAAGATATACTGGCCTAAAATTCACAGCTTGATAAGTGGCACTTAAGTGAGATGTGGGCATTTTCCCAAAGAAAGAGAATGAAACTAAGTACATTTGAATCTCATGGAAAAATATTTTTACCTGAAGATTAGCACAAAATTCTCTGATTTCACTTTTCTGTCTGGAGAAGAACGTGTAGCAAACACGCTTAAAGACTTCACTTAGACTCCCATACTGTACTGGACTTTTAACGAAGATCATTCGGATCTATTTTTCCTACTAGGGAATTTGAATTACAGAGTCTCAGATAAAGTTCATGTAACAAAACCGAGGACAGCAGGCTAAGGGATAGAGGGGTGCACTCATGGTCACAGGCCATTGCCCATGTGAAATTGGCATTTTATTCACACATGTCTTTTGGAGCTGTGCTCTGCATTCTAGATCCTGCAGGCGACGTAACTTACACCTGATAGATATGAGAAGGTGGAAATGATTAGAGGCAACATGGGCCTAAGATGTTGCATGCCAGCTCACTTTATAAAATGCAGTTTGCAAGTTGAGTAGAACAGCTTTCTAAATAAATCAGTGAGGGACGGTGAGATGGAGCAGGGATGCCAGAGGTTGAAATCTGGATGCCCTGGCTTCTTACAATTTTGACAATCCCCTTTAACCAAAGCATATTTAAAAGTGTGATTAGAATTTAAAGTAAAATTAAGTAGTTGAAGCCTATAAAATTGCAGCAATTCATATATTCATGCATTAAATTATAAAACTGTTCATTTATGCACAAATAAAAAGCCCAGAGGGAGCAGGTAACAGGTTCCAACGAGTGATATGAAGGCACGAGGCCTGGGACAGGGAAGGTGACAGACAGTGTCAACATTACCTTCAAGGAGGCAGGGGAAGGCTTAGATTTCAGAGGTGAGATCTCTATACATAGAATGAGGCCTAGACATTGGCATTTTATGGTTCCTGGTAAGTTTGTTGTTCTCCAAATTTTGAGAAGCATGTAGTTCTCATGGGGGAAGGGGATGGCTCCCAGGGCACAGGTGCTGGCCTGGGGTGAACTGCCTGGGTTCAACCTCTAAACCAGCTGTGAGACCCAGGGTACATTCTGGCACTTCAATATCTTCATCTCTAAATTGGAGAAGTTGGCCATTGCCTCATCCACAGAGGCTGTTGAGGCAACTGAATGTTGAAATACTATGAACAATATTTGGACAATTGTTAGTCCCTGATAAATATGAATTCACTGTCACATTATAGTGGACAAGGGTAAGAAAAGGGCCATCTCTCTAGGAGATTATAGGGTGAAAGACACAGATGGAGACAGGTGTCCCGACCTGTGCTTTGCAGCCAGTTACCTTTCAGCTATCACCTGGTCAACAAGGAACTACTTCTGCTTTATATACAGCATTTAAAAATGAAAGAATAGGTTTCATGTTAAGTGTTATTATCACACACACCCTCAAAGGGACACAGTGGAACTTTGGGAGATGATGGGTATGTTTGTTACCTAGATTTTAGCGGTGACACATAGATCTCTACATATGTCCAAATTCACCAAATTATATACATTAATCATTTGCAGCGTCAGTATGCCAATTAGACCTCAGCAAAGCTGGAAAAACAAAACAAAATAAAACAGAACAATAGCCTCCTGATTGTCCTATACCTCATTACAAATTAGTTTTTCCTTGGCCTTCAAATGAGCCCTTACAGTGGAAAACCCCTGCAGGAGGCGGAAGGTCCCACTAGAGACATGGTAGAGTCATCTCTGCCTGCCCGCAAGCCTGGGTGTGGATTTTGCAACAGCTGGACTGGTTTTTAAGTGCTCACATGACAGGGAAATTGTTTGCACCAGTCTGGGAAAGCGCACCATCTGTTGAAGGTTGGAGATAGCCTTCAAATGGAATTTGTCCTGTGAGTGATTCTTGCAGATGTACTCTGGTGCATTTTGCATCTCAGCATACCTGTTCATTAGAGGTGCATGTGACTGCCTCCAAGAAGCCACATGCAGACAGGCCCATAAATCTGGTGCACCACCCTGAAGAGGTGGCACAGCCCCTGACACGAAGCTGAGCTCCAACCTGCCTGTGGCCCAGCCCTAAATAAGCTGATCTTCCCTTCCCACCTATGGCCTTTTGAAATATTCACTCTCCAGCTACTTCTGTGTTTCAGTTGTACTTTGTTCTTTACACGAAGCACTGAAGACCATTTCCTTTGATTCAGACTGACTCTCGTTTATCTGCAATCAGGCCCTCCCTGCCTCAGGCCACACAGCTACATTTGAAACTGTTTCTATTTCCTGCACCCTCCTGTGTAGTTGGGGATCTCCGTGGCTTTCTCTGGCCCTGGAATCTGGAATTGATTATTTGCTCATTTCAACATGACTATGAAATCCCACACCTTCTGATTTCATTAGTCAGGACAGACAAAATTTTACTGTAATAAAACTGCCCAAGTTCCTTGGCGGGCAGGGGGTGGTGGGGGGCTTCAATAACAAAAGCTAAACTTCTCTTTCCCCACTGAGCTCCCCAGAGGCGTGCAGGTTCTCTCCCAGGTAGTACAGGCTGTCTTGACAATGTGGTTTCTTTGACTTCTACTGGAGGACAGATTTGAGTGGTCAATCTGGAACAAGAAGCCCAGCCGACACAGGGTAAGGCCCAGGTAAGCACCAGGTATAGATACAAACATGCCCTCTGAAAGGCAAGTTGGACACAGTCAACATGCTGAGGTTGTTATAACCAGAGTCTATGGGACAAATTCCAAGGTCCCCAGTGAGCATGTTCTTAAGGACCAATGTGGGAGAGCTGGAGGACCTGGCCCAGGATGGGTTTTGGAAGCTCCACTTGTCTCACAGTGTTTTCTTCTGAGTCGAGACCTGCCCAGCAGATGCCTCTCGTGCTCCAGGATCACCCTCCTCAAAGACAGATGGGTGTCTGACTCCTGTCAATATGTACATCATTCTTCGTTACGTGATTTATGAAGACCAGCTAAGGGGTGCGTCATTTCCAAGTGGAATCTCTTCTAATCCTCACAGAAAGCACCCAGCAGTTATTCTTTTATCTTTTAGTTTTTTAACCTAATAAATAAATGGAGGTTCATGAGAGCCATAGGTAAGTGACTGGGCTTTGAGCCCAAGTCACCTTTCAATAGTACAAGCTCTGCTCCCTTCACCATCTGCATCCTACTCTGGGAACTATGAAGTGGGACAGATCACCAGGTAGTGATATTCATTTGCCACGGGGCGGGCTGAATAGTGGTGCCAATACAAGTTCCTTGAATGATACTGACAACATGGTTCAAGAAAAACTGGAAAAGTGTCTGCCTCCATAAATCTTCCCTCAAGCTGTGGCCAGCCTTGGCTACCACTGCCAGAACCCAGGAGACTGCCTGGGCTGTGGGCTCACAGAACTGTCTTCCACGAGCACTGTCATATCTGAATTTCTACTTGTTTGAAGGCAGGACACAATGAATTCTCTCAAGGGTTTTTTGAGTGAGTTAGTACCCATTACCCTGCAATGACATGCATTTTGCTTATAATAAATGAATATAAAAATATGGAGCTGTCTCCTGCCTGTAGGATTTGTCAAGCTGCTGCTCTCTGTGCTGTGTCCAGACCAATCATAGTCATCACCTCTTTGATCAGGTTAGTCCCCTGTTCAAATGCTTCCAATAATCTGTCATTGACCTCATTGCTTCCTTCTCTATTGCCATCTGTTTTCCACCTCTCCCCGTGTTCTTTCCAACCCAAGTGCTCTCATCCAACAGTCCTCCTATCTGTATTTCAAACATGTGTCTCTCCTTCCTCCATGCCATTGCACCTGCTGTTGCCACCTCTCTGCTATCCAAATATAATGTGTTCATTTTTAAAAATGGTGGGAAGTCCTGACAACTCACTGCTCTCTGCTGCTATGGTTAGAACTCTGCCTTTTAAAGTTACCTTGAAGTACCCCAGGATTGAAATACAGACTAGAAATAGAAATGAAAATACAGATGGACATGTAAGCCCATTTGCAAGTACTTACTTAAACCTCTCAGGAGCCAGCTTCCATATCCTGAGGCCACTCCGGCAGTCCTATGGAGAGGCCTCTGTGTAAGGAACGGAGTCCTCCTACAATCTGCCAATACCTTCCTAGGAGGAAGTCCTCTTAGAATGAAATCCTCCAAACTCAGGCCATACTTTGAGTGACTAGGGCCCCAGTTGACATCTCACTGAGACTAAACAAGAGACTCAGCCACAGCCACCAAGCTAAGCAGTTCTCCAAAATTAGGAACATGACAAAGATGTCCACTCTCACCATTTCTGTCCACTGTAATTCTTGAAACTCTAGCTAGACCAATCAGGCAAGAGAAGGAAACTAAAGAGACACAAACAGGAAAAGAAGTCAAATGACTTGTGTGCTGATGATACAATAATAAATGGCATAATCCTATATTTAGAAGACCCAAGAAACTCTACCAGAAGATTTCTAGAGCTGATAAGCAAATTCAGCAAAGTAGCAGGACACAAGGTCAACAGACATAAATCAATCGCTTTCCTCTACTCCAATAATGAATCTGCTAAGAACGACATCAGGAAAACTATCCCATTCACAATAACCTCAAAAACAACAACAATAACAACAACAACAACAACAACAAAAAAATCCCAGAAACTAACAACTTGGGAACTAATCTAACTAAGGAGGCGAAAGACCTCTACAATGAAAACTATAGAATTTTGAAGAAATTGAAGAGCTTAGAAGATGGAAAAATCTTTTGAGTTCTTGGGAGGTAAAATTAATATTGTCAAAATACTACCAAAAGCTTTATACAGAGTCAATGCAGTCCCCATCAAAATACCAATGACATTCTTCACAGAACTGAAAACCAAATGTCCTGAGCTTCTTTTCGAAGAATAAGAGACACAGAATAGCCAAAGCAATCCTCAGTGAGAAAAGCAATGCTAGAGGCATCTCCATACCTGACCTCAAATTATTCTACAGTAACAAAAACAATTATGATATTGTTACCAGACATGAGGAGGAATATAATAGAATACCCAGAGACAAACCCACATAGATAGAGTCAGTCATCTGATACTCAACAAAGGTGCCAAAAAATACATTGGAGAAAATCCAGTAACAAATGATGCTAGGAAAACTGGATAGTCATCTCCAGAAGGATGGATTTAAATCCCTATCTCTCACTCTGCACAAAAGTTTTTACACTCTTGACACTGAGAAACAATTTGCCATATGAATATTTATGTTTTCCTAAACCACTACACTTTATAGTACTGTATACACAGTAATAGGTCACTAATAAAATGTCGTGCATTAATTAGGGGCTTGCTGTGTGCCAAACCCTTTGTTAATTGCTCTACATACCTCATTGCATCTGTCCCCAATTCAAAAAAAGATTTTCATATCTTCATGCCCATTATGCAGATGCAGATACCAGGATGTAGAGGCGTTATACAATCTCTCTAAGTTACACAGCTGATAAGTGGAGAGCCACAATCCAAAATGGCTCATAGTCCAGAGAAGTGGAAGTAAACTCTTACCCAGCTCCCGTTGCTGTCTACACACCTCCTATTGGGGAATTACAGGACCACATAACATTTTCTGCCAATAATTCACACTTTTCTATTACTTTTCTTTTTTTAATTAATTTTTTTATTTGTTTTAATTGGTTATATATGACAGTAGAATGCGTTTATGCACTTTGATATATCATACAAAGATGAGATATAATTTCTTATTTTTCTGAGTGTACATGTTGCGAATCATATTGGTCATGCAGTCACATATACACATACAGTAATAATGTCCATTTCATTCTACTATCTTTCCTATCCCCACACCCTCTCCCCTCCTCTCCCATCACTTCCCTCTACCTAATCTAAGGTTATGCTACTCTTCTAGTCCCCCCCTCCCCACCTTATTTTGAATTTAACATCTGCATATTAAACATTTGGCCTTTGGTTTTGTGGGATTGGCTTATTTTACTTAACATGATATTCTGCAACTCCATCCATTTACTGGCAAATTCCATAATTTCACTCTTCTTTAAAGCTGAGTAATATTCCATTGAGTATATACACTACATTTTCTATATCCATTCATCTGTTGAAGGACACCTAGGTTGGTTCCATAGTTTAGCAATTGTGAATTGAGCTGCTATAAATATTGACATGGCTGCATTACAGTAGTAAGCTGATTTTAAGATCCTGGGTATAAATGAAGGAGTAGGATATCTGGGTCAGATGGTGGTTCCATTCCCAATTTTCTGAGGAATCTCCATACTGTTTTCCTTAGTGGTTGCACCAATTTGTTGTACCAGCAACAGTGTATGAATGTGCCTTTTCTTCCAATTCAAAGTGAGCATTTTGAAGTCATGTCCCTTTCTTAAATACTTTGTATCTTATTGAGTGTTTGAGTTTGTGACATGCCCAAGGTTGCACAGGTGTGGAGCAGCTTTGCCAAGGTGCTTGGCTGTGTGCATAGGCATATGTGTGGTTTCCTCACACATTTCCTGAGTTGAAACCATAGATGCAAGGCTGCTTTGCAGACTACCAAGTGCTATGAATGTATAAATCATCTCCGCGTGCTGTGGCCTCCTGTGTCCCCCCAAAAGAGTTCAATTCTTCTCCTCCAACTCTGAGCATTTTCTGAAGTAAACCCAGATAAATATGGAGGCCAGAGTAAAAGCTCTGCTGCTCCTAGAGGCCAGAGGACATAGCTCAGTGACAGAGCAGAATGGCTGGGTCTTAATTTAGGTTCTCCCTAAAACAGAGATTATAATTAGAACTTGGGTGCAAGGACGTTATTTAGGGAATAATTCCAGGAAGCAGAAATGGCGGTGAGTGGGGAAGACCGGGCAGAAGGTAAAGCAGGTGTGTTTCATTTAGGTCATTGCTAAGGGCAAGGGGAAGTTTGATTTCTAGGAGCCCTGAAAAAAAAATGCCTGGGGAAATCACAATCTGAAGGGTCAGAAGCCACTGGCTCTTCTTCCCATAGATTTGGGTTTTTCTCTAGGGCCGTGGCTCCCTGACCTTTCTGCTGCTCAAGTTTGCTGGCTGGGCAGGCTCTTTCAGCCTCAAGGGTGGCCCAGAAAGTGGGAAGACTCACCGCGTGCCCTGGAGGGGGTTTCTGCCACTCCTGTTGGAGCTTCACCTACAGTCATCTGGCTGCAACCCAAGAAGCTTGGACAGAGGACGTTGGAAACCTGAGCCCTGCAGTCTTCTTCCAGCAGTCCTGGCCAGGAAACCCTGCAGCGAGGGGCCAGGGAACTCTTCAAAGGCAGCCAGGACCCAGATGAGAAAGAGGTGAGCAGAAGTGAGCATTTCCACGTTAGGGTTTATTCTCCCTGAATTCACCAAGGGGTGGGGGGCAGTCACTCCACCTCTCTCAGGAGCAGTACATGAAGTGGGCAGAGAGAGACCCTAAACGTATTTAGAAGAAAGAAATCCCTCTTCATAGAATCCACAAGTGGAACAAGATTTCCTCTTCTTGTCCTTCCAATCCAGATATCTGTGTTGGAAGGTGCAAAGGGACAAAATAAAAACATGTGCTAGATCTGCAACTGTGGCTCTTCCCTGGGACCTCCAGATGTGACTGCACAGCCCCAGCACCAAAGGCGAAGGCATTCATAAGTGTTCTAGCTCCATTGCTCTCACTGCATTCTGTACCCACCCCCCCACCCCCGCAGAGCTTTGGGTAAAGGTCGCTGTAGAAGATTGCAGTATATTTCAAAAATCTTGGGTTCCCCGTAGGAAACATTATTACAATATATTTGCTTCCTTTTGATGTCTTTTTAGCAATGATGCCAAAAAATCTCTGTTGTTTCTAAGCTGGTTTCCAAGTGAGCAGATCTGTGTGATTAAAAGAAAAGAAAATAACAACAAATAAATCATGTGAAAATATTTAGGGGTGAGGAAGACCGGAGCATGCTGCTGACTATTTGTCACTGTCCCTGGCAATGTTAAGAAGCAGACTCCTGAGGCCAGAGGCCTGGGTTTCATCCCCAGCACCTCTGCACCAAGCACAGTGATCTCTTTGTGCCTCAGTTTTTCCCTCCTAGGATGGAGAGTAGACTTATTTCGAAGAAATCGTGTGAATGTGTAATTAGCTATTTGTCACCATGAAAAAAATATATGAGAAAATTGCTTTAGTGGAGGAGAGATTTATTTTGGCTCATAGTTTCAGAGGTCGCAGTCCATGGTCCCTGTGGGCCTGTGGTAGGGCAGAACATCAGGGCAGGGAGCCTGTGGCATAGCGGAGCTGCTCACTTCATGATGACCAGTAAGCAGAGAGAGAGAAACAGGGAGGAGGATGAGAGATATTCTTCCAGGGTATACCCCTGTGACCTACTTTCAACTAGATCCCACTTTCTAAAGTTTCCACAACCTTCACTAATGTTACCAAATTAGTAATCCATGGATGGATTAATCCACTGAAAAGCCTAGATCTCTTTTGGTGCAATTACTTCCTTAAATCCCCAACTCTGAAGATTTCTGCACTGAGGACCAAGCCTTCAACATATGAGCCTTTGGGGATAGTTAAATCCAAACCAGTGGACATTAAAAGAGCTACTCTGTGAACACAGCTCAACACAGAGTGTGGCCTGTGGCAAAGGCTACGTAAGTGCATATTATAGTTACAGTATCATGGGGTCCAGGTAGCCCTGAGAACATCCATTCCAGAAAGCGAAGCAGGAACTGGGGAGGACTTTGTTTTCCATGTGAGCCATTGTCTCTTTGGAACGTATCAAACCACTGTGAGGGCCTTCTGTGCACCCTCTGCATGTGGTTTGACAGGCCTTAGACATTCCTTCAATCTTGGTTCAGAGAGTGACAGACACCTCCATCTTCTTTTAGTACTAGGGTGGCATCAGGGGGAAGAGACTCCTAGCTAGAAGCTCTTTGTGGAAAGGCTGAAATTGGAGGAGAGACACTCAGGACAGTTGGTGCTGACTTCACAGAATCAGATTCACTCCTGGGACCCAAGGCAGGTCAGACAGGGAGAGGAGAAGGGGACAACATTTATTGAACACAAATGTGTGCCCAGGCCTGTGTTGGGCTCAGTACACATTTGTGTACATGTATATAAATGTGTATGTATATGTATGCATATCTATATCTATCTATCTATCGATCGATATATATCTATATAGATAGGTACATATAGATAGACAGATGTGAATTTGTTTCCAAGCACCACTATAACAAATCAGTACAGATTTGATGACCTTATGTAATAGAGTTATTTTGTCATAGTTGGGAGGCCAGGAATCTGAGCTTGATGTGAGCGTCTCTTT